TTTTTATTTAATAATGATATAATTCATTTATTTTAATTAATTCAAATCACTTTTTATTCATAATACTAATTAATTTATTAATTTAATTCATCATATATGAAGCATTAACTATTGATTGAATCTAAAATAAGCTTGTTTTAGCCCTCCCTTGCGTGAATATTTAAATTAGTTTAATTCGATTTATTTTTAAACCGTTCCCTTATTAAAACATTAATTTTAGTTTAATTTATTTTGTAATATGCATATAATATTTTTCTCTCCTCTCACGGCCGATCATATCTATATGACTATTCAAAATTTCATTCAGTTAAGTTTGTATTAATTTATTTTGGAAGTAAAAATCTTCCCTAAATTAATTTCACTGTTTTTTTCTTCTTACCTTGGTTGTTTCTCTTTTCTCTCAATTTATTTAAGTTACCTTATGTGTTTTATTTTTCTATTGCTTGCTTGCTTTAATAATCTAGGCCGAACCTTGCTAGTTTATTTGCTCCAAGTAATCCAACTCTCTAATCTCTTGATTGTCTTTTTCAAGCATACACAGGCGAGTTAATTTTTTTTTCATCTTCGAAGCTGGGTAAATTCACTTTCAATTCTGTTTTACATTTTCATATCCTAGAAGTGGTTTGGTTTATTACTTTATTGGGTTATAATATTTTTTGGTTTTTGTGTTTCATAGTTTGTGGTGGTTTGAAATTGATTTGCTATCACTTTGCTAATTTTTTTTAATTTCTTTTATATTTTGAGTGTTTCATATTTTAATTTTTTTTGTTTGGTATTTTATATTTTAAAGTTATTTTTTTGTTGATTGATTGGTCATCTCATGCTAGTTTATGCTTAAAAAATTAAATTCTATTCCAAAAATATTTTTTTATCTTAAAATCAATAAAATAAAATTATAATTTTGAGCACTATTTTTTACTTCTTGTTCCGTAGTTTGAATATTGAGCAAAATTAGTTTTAAAATCGAGTGTTAGATATTTTAATTATACTTACTATTTTTTTATTGTTGTATTAGCCTAATTTAAGAAAATATACTATTTTGGGTTTTGTATTTGCCAGGTGTAAAAGGTAAGCTCATTTGGAGTTGTATTTGCCTGATTTTGGAGAGTTTGAGAGTTTATTATAATATTGATCTGACCTATGGAAGGCTAGGAAATGGGTGCGTACCGGATTTGGGGTTTTGGTTGAACAATGTAAAATCTCTTTTTCTGTGTCTTGCTTTATGTGTTTCTATTGTAACTGCTAATTATCTTTTAAAATTTAATAAGCATATAAAATAGTTTTTTTCATTACATTTTCTAAAAAAATTAAAAATTATTCATCTTAACAATTTGTATTAGAGCCCCAGCTCAATTTTTGGCTTAACTTTATTGAGTTGATCACTATGACAATAATTTCTTAAAGGCGAACTACCAGAAAGACAATCTACTCGCTGATTTTCTTTACTTGATAATGCTCAGTTTGATTTTTGTAAAAATCATATTAGTACTTTTCTTCGTGTATGCTAGCACATCAATATCACATACCCACTGTTGAAATAAATGATTTAAAAGTTGAAAAACCACTTGATGAATGTAGTGCATATGAAAGAAACTTGAATGAATTAAATATTAAGGCTAATGATATTTTGTGTTGTGCTTTATTTTTCGATAAATTTTTGAGAATTTTCATGCTTAATACTGTAAAAGAAAACTTGATTGTTACTTATGAAGATTCTAATGAAGTTAAAGATGCTCGTATAAATACATTAGTGCATGAATATGAGTTATTTCATATGTTGCTTAGTGAAACTATTTATGTACATTCATTATAAGAAAATTATAAATACATTATATTATCTTGGAAGAAAATACAAAAGAATGTAAATATCAATTTTTGTATTTCTTTCTAAGAGAATACAACACATTTACGATTTTCATAAAATGAGTGTACATATGAGAAATAATTTCATTAGAAAACATACAAAATAGTTCATTTTCATGTATTAATCTATCTATTTTTGTGAACATCTTTAACTTAATTAATGCCTTCATAAGTAACAATTAAGTTTTTTCAATTTTTTTAACAATATCAAACATGAAAATTCTCATCTAATCATTTTGAAGTAATGCATAATACAAAGTATTAAAAACCTTAAAATTTAATTCATCCAAATCTCTTATATGTGCACTCCATTTATCGAAGATTTTTAGATATTTTATCTTGAGCTTTAGTTATTTTTATGCATCTTTTTTTTTTCTTGCTTAGTACAATACCTTTGTTTAAAAAAAAAATGCTTCTAAAATCTCTCCCCCTATAAAAAATAAAAACCTTACTCAAAATGGGAATGCCTTATATTATGGGGAGTGCCATTCATTTTTTGTAGGAGGGTTGTTTTCCTTAGTCCACTTAATAAAATGCTATTTGTTTCAAGTTTAAATGTTGATTTATCCTATATCAACCATCATATTTATACTTTTTTTACTCTGTTTATTTCTTTTTTCGCAATACTTTAGCTTATAATTTTTGTGAGGGCCAACTATGTTTATTTTTCATATCCTAAAAACACTCTTCTCCTGGATAACGTTGTGTATTTTCTTATTCCACCATTAGGATTCCTTATGATCTATTTAAAGGCTTATCTAAAATTTTCTAACCATTTTATCACACATCAAATTTAGTTAACTATTGAAGTTTGGTCGCGTCCTACTAACATTAAAATCATTAAAGTTTAAAAACTAATTGCTTGAGTTGTTCTTTTTTTTTTACTGTCAAATATTTCTTTTAATTGGCTTTTTACATCATTATATTCATCATAACCACAATTCATGTTGTATAGTTAAACTCTCTTAAAATTGTCTTATAATCTGTGCAAAAAGATTTTTGTTTCCTTTTTAGTAAGAGAGTGTGATTGCGGTTGATAACTGTACATTTGTAAGTGATGAAGTTTGTTATTATTTCTTAATGTCTATTTTGGCACTACAAGGTCATATCTTACTGCAAAATAAAACAACGTTTATTTCCTCTTGTTTTGTATCCATCTAAACTATCTTATATTTAACACTACTAAAATTTTATGTCCATTCAAGTCACCATCTATAATTATTCTTTTTTTTTTTCAGTAGGTATACATTGCAATAGTTCATCCATCGCTTCTAATAAATTTATCTTTCTAACATGTTCTGATCCAACTCAAGGATCATAGGTACTAATTGCATTAATAATATTCTTATTGACGATTGAGTTAATCTGAGAAATTAAACTTAAGATTTTATGGTTGATTAGTATTTATTTGGTCCTTCGACTTTCTTGTATTAATTTTTATTTATCATATTTGGAAAATAATCATTTTAATAGAAAAGGCTTGTTTATTTTTCTTCTCACACGAGTGCTATGAGCTATTCTTGCTTTTTCCTCACTGATTCCCTTGAATTTGGTTATGACTTGAAAATATATGGTTGTTTCATCACATATGATTATTATTGCTTATCTGATAATGGCCAGGTATATTTTTTCAATAACCATACGCCATTATAAAATAATTAGATTGGTGAAGTTCGGCAGATGTTTGCAAATAACTAGATCTCTTTTAGTATACACATGCATTCAAAAAATTAATTAGATTAAAGGAAAAAAAATATAGTAAATATAGGACTAAAAGTAACTGTCTTTTAGGAAAAGGACTCGTAGATATTATTTATAAATGTCTGGACTAAATAAATGTAGTTAAATTCTAGCACCTGAGAGCATTTCTTACTATAAAACCCTTTCTTTCAACTCTATTCACTTTTTTTTTTTTTTTTGTCAATTCTCTTTTGACCCCATTCTTATTGCTAATCTTTGTATCAAACAATAGTACTTATTCTGAAATCTCTAGATTTTCTCCTTTTCCATTTACTCTTTTGCAAGAATATGATAATGCTATAATTGTTGTTCTCCTAATCATTTTCTTGGCTAAGTTTTGAGACTCATTCAACCTAGCATGCTTTTCATCGGAAGTTGTGAATTGTAACACATCACCTGGGTTAGTTGCTCTAACTTTTATGTTCTTCTCAACATAATCAGCCATGACATACTTCCCCTTGTTTATCTTATTTTTTTTGCTATAATAAAAGTAGTTAATGGTGCCTTCCCTGGTGAATAACCTAGCACTTAAAAAAACTAATTTTGATTCTTTTCATGAGTTTAAGCATATGTTTATGGTTTAATTGTCAACTTAACATGCACCTCAACTTTTCTCATTTGGGTATGGAATTAGTCATGATGGTTTTAGTTTTTATTTTTTTTTATTTTTGCATGAAGGGAGGACCACAAGCTTGATTTTGCACCAATAATGTGAAAAGCATTTGAACTAGGTGCTTTCGTTGATCCCATATGAAATTATGTTACAAAATATTTTATTAAATTTTTTTTATCTTATCGGAGCAGTATATTTAACCAAAAATTTGCTTGGACAGACCATGCTTTTACCAGTATCATACATACAATTCATCATTTTAATGCTCTCGGTACATACATGATAGCCCTTTCATAGTAAAATTTGAAAAAAAAAAAAAAAACAGGGAATGTCCTGTCAGTAAGAATTGGAATGTCTAGCAATGGTGCGAGAATGTTCGTTGATTCCATGCAAATTTTCTTTTTTCAGCTATCATATGTACAGTCCTCTCTGAAAACTACAAATCCACTTCCTATACAGGTTGATGCGAATCACCTTTAACGAAGTCTGTAAAAAAATGAGGACTTCTGATTCAACTTCAGCTACTCTTCACTTTTGATCACCCGTTATCTTATTCTCATTTTAATAACCTCGCTTCTTTATTTTTTATGCTTTCATTTATATTGCGACATTTGGAAAGATTCAGCTACTATTTACTTTTGATATAGACATAAGAAGTTACAATCTAAATTCTATTTCGCATTTAATAATCCAACAAACCTCCAAAGTTAAATCCATGGCAAATAATCTTTTTATGAGAGATCTTATTTCACATTTTCTAACTAATGCCTTTGAATTTTTGCAGCCAATGCATTCAGAACCAATTGGATACTCATTTCCTGGTCCATGCAGCTTCTGACTGAACAATATATATACATATATATATAATCTAGTCTTTGAACTTATTTGAGTTATAGGATCTCTTCTACTGTACCAATTACTTGTGAAATCTATCGCGTGAAACGAGGTTTGGCCTTGACATGATAACATTATTGTTAGTTTTTATGTAGTAGACATTTCTAGGATTGTGAGATCACGCCATTCATTCAGCAGGGGCCACAGACTGACAGTGGAGCTATTTGTTTGAAGCTTTCTCTCTCTATTGAATGCTGGATGGGTATCTGTTTGTACTGTACAACATGTTTGTACTTGTAATTTTGGCTTTTTTTTTATTATTCATTGTTGTTATTGTTGTTGTTGTTGTTGTTGTTATGATTGTCTTTAGTTTTCTTCCAATTTTGGTGATGTTATTATTTTTATCCTCTTTGTTTACTGATTGTATGTTATTTGAAGTTAGGGAGTAGATTTTTGTAATCTAAAGTGTAAATATGATTTGAGTGTAAAGAACATCAAGGCAAATCAATAAACTAAATTTTTGCTTTTCCAGATCATAATTATAAGAATAGGTGTCTTTTTTTTTAAATATTCATGGATGATACTGTTGTCTGCTGGTCTGCAAGGTTTTATTTTTGTAGTATGATTGTAAGGCTTAAAAGCTGCATTTTTTATTCATAGCTTTGTATAATTTTGTCCAATTTCTGATTGTGAATGCTGTCCTTCCATGTCTAAGAAGGGTCTGGATGATGCTGAGCTGATTATTTAAGTTTTAAGGTGTCTTTTGGGATTTATATTTTTTTGTTTTGAATTGAAACACAATAATGTTTGTCATATTTAGTTGAGATATAATGATTTTAAAGACTAGAAAAACTTAAAATAACTTGTTTCGAGTAATTAAAAAAAAATGTTTTTTTTTTTTATTTTTCTTAGAAATGAAGCACTAAAAATGTAAAAAATATATTAAATGATTATGTTTAATATATATATGTGGTGTATTCC